TCCCTTCCCTTCCCTTCCCTTCCCTTCCCTTCCCTTCCCTTCCCTCGGGGAAAGCTGAGGGGTACACAATGCACACATACAGCTGGTGCACCCAGGGACCACTTCTACCAGAGTGAGATGCCCCTCTTCTCCACTTCCATATTTAGCAGGATAGGATTCCTCTGCTTGTCTCCCAGAGGAAGTGAATAACAAGCTCTCTTCTTTTCCCTACCCTCACCTTATAGCCATCTCCCTTCCTGTGACAAACGACATGAATAAAGGCGACACTAAGGTAAGGATGGGCCCATAGTCAAAGGGGTGAGTAAAGATGAAGGATGTGATGTTTAACCTCCACCTAGCTGGCTGGGTTTTGCCTGCTCCTGCTGAAGTGCCCTGTAGGAAGCGCCAGGGATTTGGATGTCATCCTACAGCAGGATCCATCCACACTCCCTCCTACCAACATTTACCCTTTGTGCATCTACTTCTGAGTACCTAGGAAGGAGAGAAGTGCCTCAGAATGTACCACAGGGATCAAACAAGCTTCTCAGGTGAATGGTGGAGCTGGGGATGGAGGTTGGGTATATCCCTCCCTAGTCCTCCTACTTTTAGTTTTTCAAAGCTCTCAACAGGAGGTGACTCAGGGGAGAGTGGGGGGAGATAGGATTCGGGAACAGGCATTGCTGGAACTGTGTGTGTTTGGGGGGGTGTATACATCTGTGCTTGTATGTGTGTGGTGTAGGTGTGCATGTTCCTGAAAAATAAGCAGCTGGCTACTCTCAGGTTGCTAATCTGTCTTCAGCTACTGCTCAGCCTGTCTGGATGACCACGAGCAGTGGTGGCCTTAGCTGACCTCTCCAGCCTTCTTTTATAGGCTATCGTGCATACATCTGTGTCATACTTCCCTGACATTCATAGCTGCACTTCTTAAGTGTGTGCACTCCCAAAGGGCTTTTGGCACCTGAATGCTTAGATGGGTGTGTTTGTGTGTGGTGATCTGCGACAGACCCCCCGTTCCTGATACTGTAATACCTATAGTCTTTCAGACAAACTGATCTCTTAGCTGCCCAAATTAAGACTTCTACAGCAATTAATGTCCAGAAGGGAAACTACAGCCCTTTCCCCCTTACTTCTTGAACCTTTTTGTTTCCTGAAATCTTCTAGCCACATAATGTTTTTCCCCAGGCAGCAGTAGGGGAGGGCACATTCATGTCACTCCCAGCCAAGGCTCCATTGTACAGTGTCTGCTCATTACCTTCAGGGCAAGTGCCATAAGAAATGCCTCCCCATCTCCTGGCAGATGTGCCTGGGCCCAGAGAACTGTTGCTTTGTTAAGACTTTTAGCCTGCTTAACCCTTGCTGGTGTTGAGCCATGAGCTGTGAGCCACTGGGTGCCTGCTTCAGGCTGTGTGCTGCTAACTGAGAAAGGGATTCGGGGCAGACGCTTGCCCCTTCAACTGGCCATGCCAGAGTGGGAGGCATTCTGGGCATCTGATAGGACAATCCATTAATTCCACAATTTTCCTTGTGCAATCTATTCTCCAATATGTTCTATGTGTAAAACATGTCACTTTTGTGAAGCTGGTGCAACTCCACGGAAATACTTCCACCAGGAAAGAATTCTCTCCCAAGCCTGCCCCCTCCCTGGGTGCTACACCGACACAGGCTCTAGCTGAATGCAAAATCAGACCACACTTTTCTTTTGAATTTGCTGCAACTGGAAGGAGCAATTAGGGCTATTCTACCTTCACCATCCTCTGAGACAGAGCATTTCAGTGAAGGAGCTCCTGGTTTCACAGGACAGATCAGGACAGGGGTATCACATGGGTACAGCAGTGAGCACCGCAGCTCTTCCTACACACCATGCTCTGAGCCACCAGCATTTGTGGGTGGTTCAGGGCTGTGTAATGGGTAGTCAGCAGCTGCAGACATTTCCTGGGCAGCTCATCAGACTTTCCTTATGTCTAGGACTTTCCATGGGGAGCTGAACACAACCAAAGTGTTTACTATATCTCTGGTGTTTTCCCACTCTTGTGCACAAAGGACAATTTTTCCCACTTACAACCACACATTTCAGAAGGGTCTGAGCATAACTGAGCTCAAACATGAAGTCTATCCTTGTAAGGGCATGATCCTTTGGAGATTTCTGTGTAGAGGCAGCATGAGCAGCTATTAAGGATCTAGTTACATGTTCACAGTTAGAGGATAGCTATGGCAAAATTCCATTCTGAGTTTCTGCACTGGATTAATTACATTCATTTGGAAAGGATCTCCTCCATTTCCCGATGCAGGCTGTTATTTCATGACCTTGTGAAGCCTCATTCTGCAAGACATGCTCTTACAAAAAGTCAAGGAGAGTGTTGTGGAATAACTGCACTCTTCATTTCATTGTGTTACAAAGTCCCTCCACAGAGTTGGCTGTATTCCTGTGGTGACTGATGTGTTTCTTTGTGTTCAGACAAAGACCTTAAATCAGCTTAGAAGTCTTCAAAAAGCTTGTACAGAGTATTTTTTTTTGACCAGATTCTTATTTTTCATGCTGAGAAAGTCTTTAATTCTGAAGCTGCATTGAATAGTGCAGCACTAAGTGACTCCAGAGGGAGGGAAGTATCAGAATCTGGGGTTTGTTCTATTTAACGGTAGAGAGAAGTGACTTAAAGTTATCTAAAATCAATATTAATGGATTGCTTGTGGCATAGGAGAATGACACCAGGGAAATTTGTCTGCTTTCTTTTTGTTAGATCTTTCCTGTAAAATTTTTAATCCAGCAGGCAATTCCCTCAAACTGTGTAAGTAGTTTTAAGAATTCAGCATTTTATGGCTGTGATTTGCAACGACAGAATTCTTCCCTTACACAGGGTGAAAATTTGCCCATTCCAGCTGGTCAATGAATGTATCGGATTGCTTGAATGAGCAGCATTGTAGATGACTGGGAATTGCTGACCTGTGTTTAATTTCTACCGTAGCTGCATTGCTCTGCTCTTCTGAGAATGGCACCTTGTGAGGGAGGTCAGGGCCCTTAGGGCTGTCTGCAGAAATCATCAGGAGAAAGAGGTTCAGTGAGTGATTTTTTTTTTTTGCCCCCAAGGCTTACTCATACTGTTTTTTCTCAACTTATCCTCTCTTTTTCCACAGGCATTTGTGAGCCCTGCATACTTTCTAGGCTGCTTTATAAATAATCATCCTTTTGAACTAAGTAGCCTGATTCCTGAACTACTAACTGGCACCAGACCGTTGTGAATGCCACTTTTGTCTCCTCTGTGACCATTTGGGTCTACCACGACCACACGGCAGGGCTCCTGGTGGTGTGTCTCAGTGTGGTGAGGATGCCTTCACCCCTGCCAGAAATGCCACCTTGCCTTTGCGCCTGTGACTGTCATTCTACTGCACATGCAGCACTGCGTGATCTCTGTGGGATCAGTGGTGCTGCAGTTGCATGGGTGAGGAGCTAGGCCTGCAATCTTAGTACAGGTGACAAACTGGATAAATAATGCTTCTCATTTTACACTGAAGAAAAGGGCTGCTGGAGAGGGCAGGCCCAGAGTTTATTTTGTCTGTGAAGCTGCCTCGGGCAGTTGCAAATGCTTCCAAGGAAGTTGTGGGAACTTCATTGCTTTCAGATGACCTGCCTCTGTGTACAGCTCTTTCAGTCTATAATAGACGGCTTGAACATGTAAGCAGAAGGTCAAACACTTCTCCAGAGTGTCTTGTTCTTCTCTAGGGCTTGAGAGCAGTATTTCTCATCTGTGTTTGAAAGTGCAGTTTGCCTCATCTTGCCCTCTGTGCCCTCTGTGTCTAGCTTGGGGCTCGAATAGCTTGCAAGGTTTCAAGGTCACCTACTGAAGAGCTATGACCACTTGTATCTCTCTCTTACAACCTCCCACTGAGCCCTTTTATGAGATGCAGGTTGAGGTATACTGACTTAAAAGAGGATGAATTTGAGCTTTCTATGTATATATCCAGATCCCCTTTAATCTCCTAATGTGCCCAGCCTCTGAAATGGGCGGGAGTCGTGATCCTCGGCTGAAGTGTGTGTCATGTTGAAGAAGCTCTTTGCATTGCCATGTGTCATTTGCTCACTTCTCAGTTGCAGGAGGTACCTTCTGTTCCTGCGTTAGGTAAAACAGGAACTGAACATTCAGTTCTGGCTCGACCAGAAAAGCAAGGAGATCTGTGCCATCATCTGCTGCATTTTAGCCTTGGTAGCAAACAGATTTAGGAAAAAAAAGACAAAAAACTCCAGTGCTTTAATGTGTGTTTTTGTCTTTTTCTAGGTGATGAAGTGCATTGTAGAGGTCATCTCTGATACTTTATCGAAGCCAAATCCCCTGCCGATCAGCGAGGAATGCCTGGAAACACTCAGAGGAGGTACAGGCTCAGATTTAATGCTGGGTAGCAGCAAGAGCAGATCTAGCAAGCAGGGGCAGGTTCTGCACTGACACATGCTCTAGGACCTGACAAGGGG